TTATGTATACTATGAGACTAAATAATGTATTTTGTAATATTATCCCTCAATTTTTGTGTAATGTTAATTTCTCATAGGTCACTGGGTGTTATTTATACTGTTAAAGGGAGACAAAGGCAAAATTGTATTTCATCGTTATGATTTTTGTCATTCATTATTATGTAAATGTCCTCAAGATCAATACACTAGGCAGTCACAGGAACCATTTTTTTCACCCGCAAAAAAAATTAAAAAATCAAAGGCCATAAACCGCTGAACATTGCGGAAACGTAAGCATGTGAATAAGGAAACTCATCGATTTTGGGGTTCAAAACTTTATCTATATAACATGCAGGCGGTTTCAATGTTGACAATGATGACATAATTTATCTCTCTGATGAACGCATTCATTTTGAATGAAAGTGAATTCTGTCCGATGCGATACACAAGGCCAAGCAAATATTTTCAATAGTTTCATAATTTCAATGTGAACATACATTTAATTTCAATAAGATCTATTTATAATTCAATGTGTTCATTAATTTGTCTGTTCGTTACACTTAAATGCCGTATTAGTCAGATACACTTACTCGTATTTTCTTCAAAAGTGTCTTCATACAGACGTAAAGACAGTTCGCTTCGCTTCGGACAATTTGTTGTTTCTCCATCTTCCGTCTGTAAGAAGACACCTTTGAAGAAAAGCGCACACTGTATCCATTACATGTTTTCCTCCGGATACAATTTTTTACCGTTACTTAATATGTTATTTATACATTGTATTCTTAACCTTATGCATTATAGACATGCAATGTATACAAATAAGACAGTGATTTAACATAACAATATATTCATGTATACTGTTTTGTGCTATCACTTCTTTAAGTTTTTATAAGAACCAATACAAGCGGTCAAATATTTAGCATTTCACTATATGTAAGACATAATCAAATTGAACATAATGGCGCAGATATGATAAGCAATCGTTTATGATATAGTCAGAATATCATATATTATCTTTATTACTGTCATAAAGATAAAGAAACTGTGACTCATTCAAAAAGGTAACGCATTCTTTACACAAATGAACGCGTATCTATTTTAACTATGTACAATTTTTGAACATGAGTATATACATGTATATCTCATTCACATAATATAAACTGTGCATTCTAATATAAAATTTAGTCCTTTATTTGTTGGGTTTTACGTGTAGGTCATAATAAAAAAAATATGCATGAATGAAAATATACAGTACTGTTTTTTTTAAATAAATCTAAATTTAACTAATATCATATAGTTCTAATACAATGTAATAGCATGCACGAGTATTAACCGATACTCGTGCATGTGGTTCTAATAATATATATTAAGTTACAATAAGTTATGCATAAGTCTTGCATTTTCTACCATATTCCCTTTTTTATTTTAAACTCTTTACCTGAATAAAAAAAAATAATCTATGGAAATTAATGTCATTACACCCGTTATTATTGTCTTACAACAGTATGGTGGCTGCTTTGTGCCATTCGTGTTTTCGTCCCGCGACCCCGCCAAGCGAAATGTCGAAAATCAACAAGTTAAAATAGCGGGGGCGCAGAGCGAAAACACACTCATTAGCGAGCGCGCGGGGCGAAGTTTAATAAATAAAACTTCGCCACGCGGGGGCGCGAGGCGATATTTAAGAAAATTAACGGCGGCTGGGCGCGGAACGAAAACATGCTTATAAGCCCCCGCTAATTAGCGTGTTGTCGCTCCGCGCTCCCGCCATTTTAACTTGATATTTATCGACTTTTCGCATGGCAGGGTCGCGGGACGAAAACACACTAACTATAGCGCGGGTGCGCGACAAAGTTTTATTTATTTCACTTCGCCCCGCGTCCCGCTTATTATCGTGTCTTCGTCCCGCGACCCCGCCGTTTTATATCTTTAATTTCGCTCCGCGCTCTTGCGGGGCGAAGTTTTATTTATTTAACTTCGCCCCGCGTCCTCGCTAATTAGCGTGCTTTTGCTGCGCGCCCCCGCCATTTTAACATGTTAATTTTCGACATTTCGCTTGGCGGAGTCGCGGGACGAAAACACGCTTATTAGCGAGGGCGTGCAACGAAATTTATTTATTTCACTTCGCCCCGCGCCCCCGCTAATTAGCGTGTTTTCGTCCCGCAACCCCCCCCCCGTTTTTATTTCTTAAATCTCTCTCTGCGCCACCGCGCGACGAAGTTTTATTTATTTTACTTCGCCCCGCGCCCCCGCTAATTATCGTGTTTTCGTCCCGCAAAACGGCCGTTTTATATCTTAAATTTCGCTCCGCGCTCTCGCGGCGCCAAAGTTTTATTTATTTAACTCCCCCGCGCCCTCGCTAGTAAGCGTGTTTTCGCTGCGCGCCCCCGCCATTGTAACATGTTTATTATCGACTTTTCGCTTGGCGGGGTCGCTGGACCAAAACACGAATGGCACAAGTCAGTCACCATACAACAGCGTATGAAATTACAACTTCATTCATAACGGTAAAATTACGCCATCCTAACACGCGAATCTGCATGCCAGCATGGGTAAAACTAACGGAAACGCCAGTCTGATATATAAGAAAATATTATTCCGAAAGTCTAGATCACGTCCGAATATCCGTTAAATCTGCATGATTTTTTTTGCAATGTTATGAGCCAGTAGTACTGATATTTACACAAAACGCGTGACACTGACATGAGCATATAAATTTATATTGACCACAATAAGATAATTGATAAATATAAATTAGAATTTATGAGACACCAAAAGCAAATAATAATTAGGCCAAATTTTCAATTAAGCGTCCGAGACAAGACACAGCTACACATTTTGTCAGATTGCCTTTTTTGCATTACATAAGGTCATTATTGATAAACTTAAATATATTTTAGATTCAGTGTTGCTCTCGTGACTGTTTATTATCATTTATTATCACAAATGTATTTGTCTTACGTTTTTGTAGTGCAAATATGCAAACTGGGATATATTCATGCACTTGCAACTTGAACTTCCGATGACTGTATCATTAATTGCAAGTTTTATTTAATTCAACTTGTATCATTTATTGCGAGCACAGCGCTTACCATCTTGTCTATTGAAAATAGTAATAAGTATTTATAAACATTTTTCTAAGATCGAGACATAGTAAAAAGGATCTGATGCCATACTAATATTTCAGCAGAGTACAATAGAAAAGCCGAGATACAGATGTTAATTGCAACATGAATCATACCTGTAGTAGACTAGATTTGCTGGAATGACTGGTTGATAACTAGTGCCACTCTGGTGGATTAATTTAAACCGGGAGGTTTTTACAAAAACATTTTATAATATTGTCGTCTTATTTAATACATGTATGTTAAAATAGCGATACACGTATATTATATTGATTGTAACCGAAACCGCAGCAATTATTTGGCTCTCATTCAAGTTTCCATTGTTTGAGAAGGCGTTTTTTGTCATAAAAATTAAACTGTAATTTGTCATAAAAATCAAATTGTAATAGTTGTTTATTAGGATTTAAACATAATGCGTTCCAGAATAAAAAAGGAAATTCCAGATGTCCCTTTTCTGGGGGTCGACCTCAACGCGCTTTTTCAGCAACAATTTTACATGCATAGATACAGACAGTACAGAGCTGACTTAGGGGAATAATTCCCCTAACTTTTTAACCTCAGACGAAACGCATGGTACCCGTTCGTTCTGCGGATATATGATACCACTATCATTTTAAATGGGTTTATTTTCCAAGAATAAAGTTGGAAATGGTTGTTCGGAAATATTTCATGAATACACACATCTTACTTTCAAATGGGTTAATATAACAGTAATTTACGCAGATTACAAAAACCTTTTAATTGTAGACGGTCAATATTATTTAGATATGAAATAGAAGGCATGGGTTAAAAAAACCACAAATGTCTGATCATTTCTAGATTCGTGTTTTTATACTTGTTTGAGAATATAGAGTAGAGAGAAAAGAATACATCCGATATTAATTTGTATACAAGAAAAATATAATAACGGGCTATATAACATATCACATTTATCTGTACATTATTCATCTTACTGTTAAGAAAATAAATATATTTATAAAATAACTTACCGTACTTATTCAAGTAAAATATAAAACTTTTAAAAAATCGATAGGCATATGTTGTACTTAATACTTATGTATAAATGTAGTATTAAATATATGTTTTAATCATTATGCATTTTCGAAAAAAATATTAAGAAGAATTGATGAAATTAAATGCTCTTTTTCATTTTCCATATTTTTCTATGTATAAGTTTACTTTTACTACAATGTAGCATATTATCCGTACTTATCACTGGTGTCGTAACTACTTTCGTCAATATACATATTAAAATAAACAAAAAAATAAATAATCATTTTTAAACAGAGAAAACTATAATGAACAGGCAAATCAATATTTTTCCAAAAACTGATTATTATCAAAATATTTTATCTAATATGTGTCTACAACAACTGGTGAAATATTTATTTCTATATCACCCGATGAAATAAAACACGCAATTACAGATAAAACTTCATATCCTCTTTTCATTATATTCTTGAATATTCTTAATATAAATTCAGAAATATTGAAAAAAATATTTATTTCATAAATATGAGTGGTTCCGTTTAATTTATTTTTCACTGCAGTGAAATTATTTCCATATTGTCATTGTTGTCTTGTCGGATTATATTCTTCTAAGTCAGCCAAATCAAATAATTATAATGTAGTCAAATTTTAATGCGGAACAAAAGAAAAACGTATACAATAAACAGAAAATTCAAGTTCTTTTTTTTCTATAAAAATTAATACAGGATTAATTTTCACATTGTGGCATGAAAGTTCTGATATATTTTACTTGTCTCGAAATATTTATTTTCATACTAGTTTCAATAGATGAAAACAAATCTGTATTTATTGAAAAAAAACTCAAACATCATCTATTAAATCATGTATTATCTTCTTTTTAGCGTTTTGGAAAAAAAAATGAAAATTCGGTCCTCTCTTATTTTTTATTTTTAATTCGTACATGGTACCATACTTGTGGAATCTATTGTTCAATATATATTTGTTAATTGATAAAAATAAAACAACAAAAATAAATAAATAAGCAAAACATAATGAAATGAAAGTTGTCAGACAATCAATACAATTATCGTTCAAATTCTTAAATCCAGGTACTGTGTGATATCTTGTTGATTTCGTCTATCACGTCTGTTGTTTTGTGTTGTTTGTTTCACATATCTGAAATCAAATATCGAAACAACATTAAATTGTTTTATGATACAACTTGGTTTTACGGTGGTCATCATTTATAGTATTGATCACAAGCATTAAAATGAAATAAAAGAATACAGTTTGGAATTATGAAAGCCCTTTTAACAATATTGTTAAATCAGATTATGTATGAATGTTCATGAAAAGCGTAAAATGTAAATGTAAATAAGATAACTAGAAGAAAATAACTTAATAAGAAAATTGTCATAGCTCGTTTATTTCATTCATATAATAATTATAATGCATATCTTCTACACATTTTCACTGTAAAATGGCCTTTGCTTAAAGTATTTTTATCTATCCTTTCTTTAATGAAATGAATCGATAAAATGAACAGACCCTGTAACCCTCTGTAATAGCATAGTATAAAGGTGGTATATAATTAAAACAGTAAGGAAATAACCCCGCCTATTTATAATCAAACGCTTGAATCTGTCTAACTGATCCATAACATTACAGCTGAGATAAGGGTGAACTCACGCCATAATCAATCCAGTCCTACACATTAACCCAATATTTCCAGTTTCGTCCAAAATTTCCTATCTCTGGTCAGTGATGAGCATTGAATTGTAATTACACGGCTTGTCACTGTATCACTGACAGCAGTACCATTGAATGTTTTATGATCCTATCATGTTTTAAGAATGTATAGTTAAAGCTGGAGGATGTAGAGAACATTTTAGAATTAATTGAAAACAAGTTCAAGGGGGGGGGGGAATAATTCTGTAAATATTCATGCTACAGTTATGAATCTTATCACACATGAAAAGGATCATAAATTTTAAGTTAGAAGTAGATACCTTAAGAAATAAAAAAATAACATTTTTTTGAGAAAAAAGAAAAGTTCATGGGGAGAAAATTCTATAAAAATGGTGCAAGAGTTAAATAAATTTCTAATATGATGTAGTTGATGATAAGGAACATATGTTTGAAGTTTAATGTCAATCCTTATTTTTTGAAATGAAGATATTAGAGTAAAATATAACATTATTTTAAGGAAAATTATATGTTCAAGGGGATATAGTTCTGGAAATACTGTGGTTTTAGAGTTTTGCACCTTATCACATAATTTGGATGATAATCAGGAATATATATTTGAAAATGATACCTTACGAAATAAGAAGAGCTGTCACCCAAGTGACGAATGCCCCTGAAAAGGTTTCAGGCATGCAGGTATTATGAAAAGAAAAGAGAATGAAAGTAACTATTGCTTCATATTGTTCTTTGTATTATTGTACCTGTGATATATAAATGTGATAGCATGAACCTTCAAGATATAAGTGTGACCTTGACCATTGACCTTTAACTATTTAACTTTATTTTTTATGAATTTAAAAATTTATCGTGTGTTATAAAGTATATATACAAATAATTGCTAAGTTTCACGATTCAATTAAGCTGCAGACCCGGTTGAAAAAGAATGAAGAAAAAAAAAACATTGATAAATTTAGTAAGTGTATCTTCTACAGAAATTTGACCCTTCAATTTTAGGGCCATTAGATAATAATACAGAGGGCCAATTAATAATAACAAAACTCTCAACTCAGTGGACGTGTTAATGTGAGACGTACAGTTGATAGTGATTTACTAGCTGATAAGCCCTTACTGAGATTCAGCAGGCTGGAAGGGTTAATGCGTAGGACTGTATCGGCTAGTCGAAGTTCATGAACTCTTGTGTATTATTATACAGTGTCTGCAATTTGTATTAATTTCAACAAGGCATATAAGATTTAAAGATACGAGTTTCAGGGTACTGGTACTCACATATTATTTTCTTCACATGTCCTTTACAGATAGATACAAGAGAATATGTATTTAGATATTTTTATTCGAAATGTTCAAATAATATCGTTTAAATTATCTCATCCATATGTTTATATCATTCTTTTTGTATCTAAATGTATTAAAATGAATTTTCTAACAATGTGCAAAGATAAAGAAAATGTTACTTAATTAATATGTTCTTAAAAAAAAAAAAAAAAAAAAAAAAAAAAACCAGTTCTGCTCATTTTTCATTTTTCTTGCTTCCAAAGAAACTAACCTTCTTTGCTTATTTGGGTGTCAATATAGTCGAGAATCGACAAAGAAGTGATGTGCAATTTACATGTTTATTTAACAATATATTGCATAAGAAGGATCTTTATTAACCACCATCCCTTAAAATTTTCACATCATATTCTCAATTTATATCAAATACTAATAAGAATGAAAATATAAACAATCACTACATGACAATGATACATATGTATGCTTCTGAACTGAGAAAAAACTGAAAAAATTACCTTAAATTTGCATCTGATGATCGCATAACTTTTTGCTCAGTTTAAGTGCAATCCTTTTGATGATAAAACAATAACACTCTGCCACATTCTTACAAATGTACAAATTGTACTTCTGAACATCAATTCTTCCATGACGGTGAGATAGCGATAAAGCCCGCTAAATTCGTTCCAGATTTTATTACACACATAATTAAACGAATACCGCGCTGACCGCATTAAGGTAGCAAATCCTCCTGTCCACCGACAGAAGAATATTTCAACGATAGAGTAATGTAGGAAGGGAAATGTAACAAAAAAGAATACACATAGTTGCAGATTGCCTAGATGATATATGGCAAATGTGTTTTGCTATCAAATCTGTCACAAGATACCAAAAACTAGACATTTTTTAAATAAAAATGGTAGCATTTCTCATGCAAAAGTACTTATTGCAGGTGTTATGTATTTATGCGTATATATCTAGATTAGATTTTACGGCACTCTGAAGTTCTATCTTTACAAATGTTATTATTTACTCAGTATACAAAACACGTCACTATGAATTAAAATAGCAGCTTGTATAAACATTAAATGAAAAAATGAATAACAGATAATTACACCTATTTTCTTTCTAGATTGTCTAAGATGATAGTTTTTATACACCACATTGTTAGTAAGATCAGCAATTACTTTTTGATACTGATTTACTGATACTTTTAAAAAATAGATTGATATTTCTTTAAGTAGGAAAAGTTAAACATTTTGATAATAATGTAAATTTTGTCTATATTCTTGTTGTCTAGAGTGCATTTTTTTTCTATTCATAGGAACTGTAAGGTAACTCATTCGCGAGCGATAAGAAATGTCAAGATAACAGACAGTACCGCGCAAAGATATGGAGGCATCCATCTGCAAATTAAACGTTACGTTTTTGTTTCGCCGTTTTTACATTCATTAAAGACATTGGATATACAAATAGAACTTTAAAACAACGAGTTACGCATTTCAAACTATAAGAGTGGTTCAAGCAGTACTATATCCATAGATTTAACCATCAACCGTTGCTAACCCTATTTACCTTACATGCACCATGAATTTATAAATACAATAAATAAGTTGCTCAAAACTTCGCTTGTGCCCAAGATACGCATAAATGAGCGGTTTGTTTAACGATGACATTATATATTCAGATGAAAAAATATCTCAAAATTAATTTAGACATTGAATATTATGACAGTTTATAAGATATTCTGTAACTTGTAAAATAAGTCTTTTTTCTGATGAAATTAATTTACGGAAACAATCTTATGCAGATTATTTCAAAGTAATTGACCTTCTCTCCGCTGAAGTAATTAAATGTAAAGTTTATAACTTTTTTTACGAATATATGTTTATGTCAAAGAGTCGACATGTGTGCGTCTTTAATTATCATGTGCTCACGAAACACTAAGTTGGGCGAACGAGATACTATGTCGTGACAACCTGTTACTTTTTCGTGCGCTAGAGATATTTAAGTGGGGCCCACAATATACTATGTCTTGGCCACGAGTTACTAAGCTGTGCTTACGAGGTAATTAAGTCGTGCCCGGGAGATAATTAACCAATCAGATAAAATTATATAATTATGAATGTTTTAAACTTTAAAAAATTCTGGTTAAAATTTTACATGCAACGTTAATCTATTACACTACTTAGGATATCCACTTAAAACATTATACATGAATAAAGGATCATAAGAATAGGTCACTATCCAAGACCAATAAATCAGATTTTAATCTTTACTAAGTTTTGCTCTTTGTGGGGAACATTATGTGATAGGATTGATCAGTATGTACGTACTAATTGCCTGTTGACCTTTTCCATACCATAACTTGAGAAGAAATTAGCCCCGGTTTATTTTATTTAGTAATTCGTGGCCACGACTTAGTAACTCATGGATATGACATGATATCTCGTGCGCACCACTTAATTATTTCATGCGCACGACTTAGTAACTCGTGCCCACGACATAGTATATCGTGCGCACGAGACAAATAAAACATACACACACGTCACCTTTTTGCCACCGCACGTAAATCAGCTTACGAACCAATTCTGTGAAGAAATATATATTTATATAGCATTTATTGTAAGGGATGAATGCATCGATTTCTTTAATAGCATAACAGACTTCATACATGTTTCCAAAGCGAGGTATAAGCCAAAATGACCTATCCTTTGTGTATAACTTAAAGAATAAGAAAGCCAATTAATCTATAAATGGAGTAAATAATTCAAAACAACACATTCTATTCATTTCGTCTTTGAAACGAAATAAATACATTCAAATATTACCGTTTAAGCGGTAACGGAAACGTGACATTAAAGTATAAATATAGATCAATGATTCTATGTATAAAATATGCATATTTTTTCAATAAAGAAAAGTTGTAGTGCATCAAATATATTTACATGTACGATAAATAGACAAGATAAGTAATAAAACTAATAGAAAAATAACGTCTTTGTTCAACAGTATAAATAGTAATGAATGTACACAAAGTGTTTCTTGCCAAAAGAAAATTAGTACTGTGAAAAGGCAAGCAAGTGAACATCTGGGAAAACAATACGAAATTGTAATTCTTTTAAATACCCATTTTGCCTCAGAAATGCTTTAATCTTTAGCATTTCACAAGCTTCTTCATTTTGGTATACTTTAATAGTATCCTAAAATTTTCTCATTGGCTAATTACCTGGAACATATTTTTAATTTGATTATTGCAGGTCATTAGTAAAAGTATAGTTAATTATTATTTTGTATAATGTGCCTTTAACAATCTATTCCTGTTGATATGTTAAATATCAATAGGAAGAAAACGATAATGGTTCTTCTGTAGAATGAGCTTCACTATTAAAATGAACAGCCACATAACTTGAATTATTGGAACGCTATATTGTTCAAAACTTGCGGCTGTTCATCCCTCTCGTGTTTGTTCAATTTATTGTATTTTACACTTTTACGTGTCTAATTAAAACAGAACAGAACAGATATTTTATTCAAAAAAAGAATATCCAAAGCCATTACAATATGTGACGCAATATTCATATATCATGCTATAATTTCCCCCTTTCTGAATTATATATGTAGATTTTACTAAAACAACGTATCATAAGTCAGCAGGATGTCTGATGGTTATGTCAAGAAATAGATGTGTGGTGCAGCTAAATTTTTATTACAATTCCAATCTTTATTCAAATATCATTCATAAACACAATATGTGAAAGAGCATTCATTCCAATATATATCTCCATAAAAGAATGATCATGTTTTATATGTAAGAGAGCTCGTAATCAGTTATAGATCAATATACACGTGTCAAAATGCGTTATTTGATTCGTTACTTCTTTTTGTTTGTTTGTTGTTGTTGTTGTTTTGACACGCGTATTGCAATTCTGTGTATTATCTGTGCTTATTATATTTATATTCTGACATATGTGGGGTGGAACTGTTAATAAGATAATTTTGTGGTCGAATAAATAAGTGCAGAATTATTATAACGTTTATTGTCTTAAACTTATTAACAATATAATGTAAATCACTAATAAGCTTTTCTTAAGTTAATTATGTTCTAATCGTCGACTCTCCAGTTTATTTTTAGTAAATGTCTACACGTTCATTACTTTTTTAAAATATCTCCATGTATTTCTGTGTAATTTTGATTATAACTGTATATTCCAAACTCATCATTTATGAATCACTATCCTGTTGACTTGTGACATATACAAAAATCGCATAACGCTAATTAAATTATGCATGCTTAAACTTTAATGATTATTGTAACTAAGTATAACATTAAAGGTCATTGACTAATTACCATTATTATTAATATTTACAGGATTAAGCAAAATATAATTAAATTTTGCAAATTCATATACAAAACTACAAATTTGAATAAAATAAAGACTTGAATCATTATTTATTCAAAAACCTAGAGACGTGTGTTTTAATGTTTTGTTTTTGTTTGTTTGTTGTTTGATTTTTGTTGTTGCCTTTCTTCTTCTTCCTTTTTAAGGGGGTCATTTTAAAAAAGAAGAAAAATAACTAGTGGACACATTTTGTGCTGTGGAAGCCTGAACATGTTGCCCATAAAGATCAAACATACAGATAAATCAGAAAGGGGTTATAAAACATTTAAACCAGGAACTAATAACTTACATTGCGAAACAGGGGGAAAAAACATTCATTGGTTCCAGCCTAAGATGAGCACATTTTTCATTTGTATCACTGAAAGTCCGTGCGGTAATTTGGCACCACAGTAGAGGTTATCTCTAGGGTAATTATCAATTCTCCCGTTATTTGTGTTATAAACTCGATTTGACCCCTAATTTAATGTTACAACGGTATGGTAATAATACACGTGGATAAAGGTTATTTGATTTTTTTTTTGGGGGGGGGGTGGTAGGCTATTGTGTTTTTCTTATTTATCTTTTTACTATTTACAATGTTGTTTTTTTTAAATAACTTTCATTGATGCTCTGTCTTTATTTGTTTAACATTTCATTCTTTATATATTTATAAATATTGTAAGGTTTTTATTTCGGTAGTGTTCATAATATTTATTTGATCTTTCATACAGCCTACCTCAAAGATTTAAACTTGAATTGCAGATTAGAAAACAGAATAAGTCACTCTTTGTGTGATTCACTCAAGAAGTTTTATATATTTTCCATCAAAGTTTGTAATGATATATTGTGGCACAGTGAGTGTTATTTATAATTAAATTACTTAAGTAAAAAAGATATGTTAACGCTGTATTCACGTAGAACTATCATTCCGCTCCTTACACTTGTAAAATCATAAATAAAAATAACGATAATGCATTCAGACTGTTTTGAATATTGTAATGAAAGTAATACTTAATACCAGAGCCTGCAAGAATATACATTTATGCTCAAAGTGGACAATTATCTCGCATATCATGTAACGCCAAATTAATATATTTAAAAAGGATATGAAAACACTCATTTTATGTAAAGCGAAGACAAAAACGAATGTCATTTCATATTGAGACAAAAGGAGGTGCTTAACAAAACAAGACCACTTCTAATTACCTAAGGAATGATTTACTAATGATTTGCCGATAATAACAATAAACATTTTACAGACCGTTTTAAAACTCTACAGGTGTGCTCTGTGCAACTTTTAATCGGAATTCAGCAATGATTATTTTCTTGACTCTCGGTGTATTTCGAACTTTGTGGTGGTAAATCATATACATGATAAATGTACGAATGAAAAATGGTATCCAATTTATAAAAACATTTCTAAATCACAAAAAAATGAAAGGCGATGATATAATGGTGATTTACATTATTATAAAATGGTCTGCAAACATGTATATTTCAATATAAGAATAGAAAGGGTGAGTTTTACCAGTCTTCTCTTTTACGAAGGTCTCAAAAAGTACTTATCGTTCAAAAAAAATATATGTTTAAGGGAACAAAGATTTTATTTACATCGACTATACGCCGTGAGATCCGCAAAGCCTGTTGCAAAACTATTTAGTAAAGTATTTTCTAAAGTTCGTTCTTATTCTGGATTTGATTATAAAAAGTGTATTTTTAACATGATAATCCTTCGCAGCCTTTAAATATTGAGGGCAAATGTGTTTTGTCAGTCCAGTGTTGGATATAATTCATAAAACATTGATCAATATAAAACACATCCTAGGTTCTAACTTAACTTTGTGTCAGCGGGCCTAAAACCTTTGATGTGTGGCGTATTAATTAAGGTATTATTGAAAGTCGTCCTGCACGACATTATTGTTGTGAGTGCACTTGTTTGGTACTTTAAAGTCCTTCTAATTTGTTGATTTCTTAGTCGGGTTGTTACAATTAATATACCTAACTTAAATAATGTTGAATCACCCTTAGTATAAGTTGCCTGCTTTCTATTTTTATTTTGTAACAGCTTATCTATGTTATGCAGCCTTCA